TTTGTGTAAGATGTAAGAGTTCTATTGAGGTTCTTTTTGGTTCTTTTTTTTTTTTAAACCTATGAATGTTTTTTGCTCCAGCAGCATTTGTTGAAAAGGCTGTCTTTCCTCCACTGAATTGCTTTTTGTGCCACTGTCAAAAATCAGTTTGGCATTTGTGTGGGTCTATTTCTGGGTTCTCTATTCTGTTCCATTAATCTATAAGTCTGTTTTTCTATCAGTATCATACAGTCTTAATTACTGTGCTATATATCAGGTCTTGAAATTGGCTAGACTGATGCCTCCCGCTTTATTCTTATTCAGAATTATTTTAGCTCTGCCTATTCCTTTGCCTTTCCATATAAATTTTAGAATAATCTTGTATATATCTACAAAAACTCTTGCTGGCATTCTGATAGGAATTCTGGTAAACTTGTATATCAGTTTGGAGAGAATGGAAATCTTTAGTGTGTTGAGTCTTCTAATTTACCAACAGTGCATGTTTCCATTTATTTATATCTTCTTTGATTTCCTTTATCAGCACTTTTTAAATTTTTAGCATATAAGTTCTGTGCATGTTTTACTATACCTATACCTAAGTAGTTTTTGAGTGATTATAAATGGTATTATGTAATTTTGGTGTTCATTTCTAGTATATGGAAATACAGTGATTTTTGTTGGTTTATCTTGTATCATGTGACCTTGCAGAACTCATTTGTTAGTTCTAGGAGTTTATATGGAATATTTGATGTACACCATTATGTCATTTTCAAATAGGGATATTTTTATTTCTTCCTTTCTAATCTGGATGCCTTTTATTGTCCTCCTTTTCTTTCTTCCCCACCTCCTTTTTTTTTTTTTTTGCCTTATTGCAATGGCAGAGCTTTACTGAATAAGAGTAGTGAAAGCTGGTATGTTGCCTTCTTCTTGATCTTGAAAGGAAAGCCTTCAGTCTTTCTCCAAGTATGTCAGCTGTAGTTTTTTTTAATATATGCTTTTTATCAAGTTGAAGTTCCTCTCTACTCTTTTTTTTCTGAGTTTTTATCTTGAATAGATGTTGAATTTTGTCAGATTTTTTTTTCTGTATCAGTTGATAAGATCATGTGATTTTTCTTCTTTAGCCTGTTACTATGGTGAATTACATTGATTCATTTTTGAATACTGAATTACTTTCCACCCTTGGAATATACCCCACTTGGTCATTTCTTTATCTATTGGTGAAATCCATCTGCTACTATTTGTTAAGGATTTTTTGCATCTATATTTATAAAAGATATTGGTTTGTAATTGTCTTGTGTGTGTGTGTGTGTGTGTGTGTGTGTGTGTGTATGCTGTCTTTGACTGGTTTTGGAATCAAGGTAATACTAGCTTCACAAAATGAATTGAGAAATATTCCCTCTGCTTTTATTTTCTGGAAGAGACTGCATAGAATTGTTGTTAATTCTTTGTTAAATTTTGGTACCATTATCCATTAAACCACCTGGGCCTGGAGATTTCTCTTTTGGGGGTTTTAAAATTATGAATTCAATTTTCTTATTGTTTATAGGGCTGTGAATTGTGGTAGTTTGTGTTTTTCGAGGACCATTTCATCTAAGTAGGCAAATTTATATATGCAGAGTTGTTTGTAGCATTCCTGTTACCTTTTTGGTATCTACATGGTTTATTGTTATATCTCTTATTTCATTCCTGATTCTTCTGGTAATCTGTGGCTTTTCTACTTTTTTTTTCTTTTTCAGTCTTGCTATAGGTTTTCAATTTTATTGATTTTTCAAAGATCACTGGTTTTCTCTACCATTTTCCTATTTTCAATTTCACTGATGTCTGTTCTTAGCTTTATTTCCTTCCTTCTGCTTGCTAATTTACTTTTATTTTGTTCTTTTTTAGGTCCTTGAGATGAGATTGCACATTATTGTTTGAGACTTTTGTCTTTTTTCTTACGCAAACATCTCGTGCTGTAAATTTCCCTTTCAGTACTGCTTTAGCGGCATTTTGATATGTTGTATTTTGATTTTCATTGAGTTCAGTGTATGTTTAAATTTCCCTTGAGACTTCTTCTTTGGCTCATGGATTATTTAGAAGTGTGTTGTTTTCAAGTGTTTGGGTATTTCATTTCCAAGTATTTGAATATTTTCCTGTTATCTTTCTGTTATTGATTTCTAGTTTGATTTCACTGTAGTCAGAGAACACACCTGTGTGATTTAAATTCTGTTAAACTTGTCAAAATTTGTTTTATGGGCTTGTACATGGTCTATCCTAGGTAGGGTCCCACGTGCACTTGAAAAGAATGTGCACTCTGCTCTTGCTGGGTGGAGTGCGTTATAAATATTGACGAAGTCCTGCTGGTTTATGTTGTCACTGAGTTCTTCTATATCCTTGCTTATTTTCTGTATTGTTGTTCTGTCAGAGGTTGAGAGAGGAATATGGATTTGTCTATTTCATCTTTCAGTAAGTTTTGGCTTCACATATATTTGGAGCTCTTTTGTTTGGTGCATACACGTTAGGATGTTTTTGTGGTGAACTGACCCTTTCACCATTAGGTAGTGTGTCTTTCTGTCTGTTGTTTAGGTTGGGTAATTCCTATTGTTTTGTCTTTAAGTTCACTGATTCTTTCCTCTGTCTCCTCCCTTCTGCTGAACCTATCTACTGAATTTTTAAAATCAGTTATTATATTTTTGGTTCTAAAGTTTTCGATAGTTGATCTTTAGATCTTCTCTTTCTGTGCTGAGACCTTCTATTTCTTTGCTATTTGTTTTCTATTTCTTTGCTATTTGAGACTTTCTATTTTTTTGTTTCAAGTGTGTCTGTAATTGCTCATTCAAGCGTTTTTATGATGGCTATTTTAAACCCTTTGTCAGATATTTCTCACATCTCTGTCATCCTGATTGTTGGCATCAACTGATTTTATGTTTTTCAATCAGTTTGATGCTTTCCTGGTTCTTGATATAATGAGTGATTTTTTTGTTGTTTAAATGGGCATTTGGATATTATTCTGTTGTTATGCTATGAGACGCTGGGTCTTTAAATTTAAACATTTTGTTTTAGGTGGCCACTTTTGACACAAATATGGCAGAGGAAGGGTAGACATCCCCTCGTTTCTTCCAGGTTGGGACAGCAGTTCAGGTTTCCAACTCAGCCTCCATTGACACTTGATAGTGATGGGTAAGAGTGGGAGTTACGGCTCCGCACAAAGCTTACATTGATACCTCTCTGCATTGTGGGGGTGGGGGCCTCATTTCTGCCTCGTGGAGGGGAAAGGAAGTCCAGGCTTCCTACTGGGCCTTCTCTGGTAATAGTCCTGTAGGCAGGAGGCTGGGGCTGGGTGCTTCATTACAGTCTTGAGAAGGGGGAAGTCCTGGCTTCCTAGTAGCCTTTGCTGACCTGGATGGGACTGGGGCCACAGCCTTTTCTGTAGCGGTTAGCCAATAGAGTGGTTATTATCTAAAATGTTCTGTCTTTTGAGGTTGCCCCCTTCCCAGTCTTTGAGAGTGGGCTTTTGTTGGAACTCTTTTTGTCTGCACCCACTGGCGTTTCCAGGTTGCTGACTTCTTCAGTTCCAAGACTAGGAATATATGAGGCAAAAAGAAAACCCAGAGAACTCACTGCAGGGAACTGTAGTATTCCTAGCCAGTTTTCTTTCCTGTTTCCACCTTTTAGTGTCTTCTGATGTTTGTTTTCCATATAACGTTGAAGGTGAAAACCATCCATGATACTTTCTTGGAACCAAGCTTCTCTGTACTTCATTGTTTGCTAAGTCTGCTTGCTTAGAAGCCTGTTATTTAGGGAAACATAACCTTGATGTGAAACAGCATGTGTTTTCAATCCAACTAGACCTAGTTTGGAATCCTGGTTCCATCTTGTGCTAGCTGTATGACTTTGAAGTTTAGTCATTCACTTAAAAACTGTCCTGTAGTGCCTATTCTGGACCATGCTGGGCTGTGGGAATTAAGTGAGGAGTACCTTTCAGTGCTCCCTTTTCTTCGTTTTCTAGTCATTAGCAAGTCTAGTTGGTTTTACTTGAAAAATATATCCAGAATCGGACTACTTTTCTCCATCACCCCAACTTTTCCCCATGCTTTTGTAATAAGTTCCCTGATTCTGTTCTTCCTTCTCATCCTTTGCCTCAATTCATTATCTACACAGCAGGCATGGTGATCTTTTAAAAGCATGCATCAAATTATTATTCTCTTACTTAAAACCCTATACTCAGACATACTGAGAATAAAAAAACACACCTCCCTATGGCCCACTAGGGTCTGTGTGGTTCCCCCCTGAGTTCATCCCGCATGCCTTCCCCCTTCATTTAGTGTGCTTTAGTCATACCAGACTTTTTTCTTTTCCTGAAAATATCAAAGTTATCCCACCCTGGCGTCATTATACCAGTTATCCCCTCTAACTTGGATAACTTTTTCCTGCAAAGTTTGAATGGCTGGTGTCTTGTTTTCATCCAGGCTGTAGTTCAAACGCTCTCCTTCCCCTTCTCCTCAAGTCATATTCTATCAAATCCCCTTGTGCCCCATCCCAGCCTCTTATTTAGCTCTTCTTACGCTTTGAAATTATCTTGATTTGTCTGCTGGACTGAGCTCCACCAGGGCAGGGATCATGCTGTTTCCTTCATTGCTGTACACCCCATGTCTAGAACAATTCCTGGCACAGAGCAATCAGTATTTGTTGAGTAAAGTTACTTAATTCTCTTGCACCTCAGTTTCTCACTTGTCACACAGAATAATAATTGGCTAATAAAACAAGCTTGTATTTAGAATTAAGTGAGATAAGACATGTAGGTGAAGTACTTAATACAGTGATTGGCTCACAGTAAGCCAAATAATGGTTTGTTATTGTTTCATTCCGACTGTTTGTGTTACAGTGTTCACTTCCTTTCTCCCGTACTCCTCTGGTACCTGTTCTTGCACCTGGATCCGTCCGAAGTGTCATGAGTGTTTATCAGTGACAGATGCTGACTGGTTAGACGCTTACAATGAAACCCTAACTTAGTTCTCTCTTGGCCATGTTTTTCTGTACAGGTTCTGCAGCTGGGCTCAGACATCCTTCCCCAATACAAGCAAGAGGCACCAAAGACTCCCCCTCACATCATCTTACATTACTGTGTTTTTAAGACCACGTGGGATTGGATTATCTTGATCTTAACCTTCTACACAGCCATCTTGGTCCCTTACAATGTCTCCTTTAAGACCAGACAGAACAACGTGGCCTGGCTGGTTGTGGATAGCATCGTGGACGTCATCTTTTTGGTGGACATTGTGCTGAATTTTCATACCACCTTTGTTGGACCAGCTGGGGAGGTGATTTCTGACCCCAAACTCATCCGCATGAACTACCTGAAGACGTGGTTTGTGATTGACCTTCTGTCCTGTTTGCCATATGATGTCATCAACGCTTTTGAGAACGTGGATGAGGTTAGTGCCTTTATGGGTGATCCAGGGAAGATTGGTTTTGCTGATCAGATTCCACCACCCCTGGAGGGGAGAGAGAGTCAGGTACATCCCTCAAATCTCAGACCTTGTTGTCATGTCTTTAACTTAACTGTGGGTGGTCAGCAGAAGAGTAATTAAATGGATGGGAACTAGCATGACTGATGTCCGGAACTGAGGGAGCATGATGCTTGCTCGATACCCTCGCCTGCTGTTCTTGTCCTTTGTAGTTTCGGGGGCATCCTGCATGGCAGTGGATGAATGTGGAGGAGACCAAAGGCTTCCCTCCTTTGGAGTGCAAGCCACTGGCTCGGGTGGTGGGGCTGCAGAAGCAGGCATGCGTTGTTACTGCATTGGTGAATCTTTCACTTGTATGCAATTGCTGAATGCCTACCTGTTGGTTATTCTAATTATGGGGACTTTTCTATCACCTGCTGCTGAACTCTGGCTCTTTCAAAGCTAATTAACTTCTGGCAACAGGGATGCTATTTCGCTCCAAGTTTGCTTGCCTTCCCTGCCCCGCCCGTGGTAAATGGTTGGGGAAGAATGAGTTATTTCTTTGCTAACGTGAGTTTTGGAGGTGACTGGTGACATTCGCTTGTCCCTGTTCTCCCTGGCCTACATTTGCTGAGATAGTCAGGCTGTGGTTCATTCTGGCTCTTGTGGCTACAGGGAGTAGTGCTGTTACTGGATTATACTGATTCTGGATTGTTAGTCCTACAGGCCGAGGGAGGAACTGAAAGAAGATAAATGCTCTGTAAATGTGCTGGAATCAGGACTTGCTTAAACAGTCAGTGATTGGGTGCCTGGGACACGTCACAGCAGGAAGGGGGCCACTGGGCTGGTTAAAGTGATTTCCTCCTTTGAAAAACCAAGAATGTCACATCATTGCGAAGGGAAATGTCAGGTTCTTATCTAGTTTAAGTGTTCTATGGGAATTGTTCTTCTAGTTGACACGTTAGTTGAATTAAGATAAGGCAGTTCATCTGGTAAGTCTTCAGCCTCGGATAGTGGTGGCCCTCATTGTCTTCTATTATGGAGGGTCCCAGAGGTCTCAGTCTGGCTGGGCTGCTAACTGAGTGGGTCCTCCAGGAAGCCACTGGGAGGCTGAGTTGGGGCAGGATACACTCTTGGGACTAAAGGGAGCTAGTGAGACTCAGCCTTGAGATCGTTGGTAGGAACAGCCAGCTCCTTGCCAAGACACAAGACCTGTAGGATACAAGAATTGATGTCTTGCTGGTGGCGTAACGATGCCTCTCTGTCTTCAGATCAGTACCAGCAGTGGGGGAGGACTTCAGCCCCTTCCTCTGAGAGCATCCAGCTGCCTACTACTTTGCTTTCCAGTAGAGAGGAGCTGATTTTCAGATGCTCTAGACTCAGAACAACCCCTGCTTTGATCTGTGTGGTGTGTTTTTTTTTTTAAATGTACTTTAAAATCCCAAGGAATAATTCTCTGCATGGCTTGTGTGGATTTTGTAGGGGGATTAAATGAGTCGAGACTGATCATTTAAGAGAACAAAATCATCCCTGAAGTGAAATATTGAGATTCTTAAATGTGAGTTTTAGTACATGTTAGGAATATTTTTCTCTGTGAGCACATTTCTAGAAAACTTTATGTTAGTTAGGAAAATATGATCATTTTGGCTTAGATAACTCAACTGATTTGTTTCAACCTAAAAGAGCTTCTTAAACACATATGGGAAATTAAATTTAACTTTAAAAAAACTGGTTGAGTTTTTTAAAATAAACCATTTGCTACTTATAGCAATGGCCTTGAAAGTTTGCAAATAAATAGAACAGTTCTTTGGCTTCCACAGTTTCTTATTAATATTGGCAGAGCTGTAAACACAGATGTAAATGTGTCAAGATCACCTTGGAGGTTAGCAGAGCAGAGAGCTTCTTCCCGGGCACTGTGTATGCTGGGTTGGAACTCCTTTGCCGTTAATTGTGAGCACCCCTGATTTCTGATTTCCAGAGTCATGAAATAGACTGTAGTTAGGAAATTCATAATTCCTCTGTAGCTTTCTAGTTGGCAAAGGGTTTAGCATCAAAGCTCTCACTACCATGCCTTGATCCTAAATAATGATATGAATATCAAGGGGTTATACCTACAATTTGCTTCTGTAAAGACTTGATTTTATTTTATTTTATTTTTTATTGAAGTATAGTCAGTTTACAACATTGTGTCAAATTCTGGTGTACAGCATAATGTTTCAGTCATATATATACATGCATATATTCCTTTTCATATTCTTTTTCATTATGAGTTACTCTAAAATATTAAATATAGTTCCCTGTGCTATGTTTAATATTTATATAATATCTGCAAATCTCGAGCTCCCAATTTACCCCTTCCCAGCCCCTCCCCCCTTGGTAATGATAAATTTGTTTTGTATGTCTGTGAGTCTGTTTCTGTTTTGTAAATAAGTTTATTTGTGTAAAGACTTGATTTTATGCTTAGTAACTCCTTTTAAAGCTTTGGCTCACACCTGAAAGAATGCCATTCTCTAACCTTGATAGTGGAGTTGGGGGAGAGCAACATGAGGAGACTGAAGAGTTGGCTGCTGGTCCTCTTGGTCTCACCCATTAGGCTGGCTGAGAACCCTGTGCACATCATTTAGCCCTTCTGGATCACAGTCTTCCTGTCTACATCCTGGGGGTGACAGTACCTTACCTGTCTGAAGGCATGGCATTTGGGCAGTGGATTTTGAGTTTCTGGCCAGCTGCAAAATCTGGGAGTTCTAAAAATCTCTTTTGTGTTAGTCTCACCTCCAGACTGACTATAAAAATGGACTAACCTCCTCCCTGTGATGGGAGGGGGTGGAAGGTGGGGTGGGTTGGGAGCAGTTAGCAGGCTATGATAAGTAGACCTCTTGGAGGTCAGAGCCCAGTAGCCCTGTGGAGGTTCAACCCTCTTAACTCACAAATAGGGAAACAGACCCGGGGGGAATATGACTCACTCAAGAGGGCACAACAAATCATGCAGTCCCAGTAATATTCTGTCCCCTTCTGACTCTTCTCTATTCTGAATAGTGACAGATTTGATAAAATAGGGACGAAACACTGAAGGATACACTGATTCAAACTGAGTCGAAACTGACCAAGAAGCTCCCGTGCGTGGCTCACCCGTTGGCTTGGTGGTTGTGGTAGGGAGGTTGGGCACTGGCTACGGGGAGGTGGGCGGCTGCATTTTCCCCCAGGCATCTGAGGTGGTGATGAGATAGGAGGTTTAAGGTGCTGGCCAGGGGACAGATCCAGCACAGTTTTCCAGGCACAGGCCTTTTTGTTAAAAGGCACCATTCAGTCAGTGGGCGTGAAGGGCTGGTAGGGCTGAGAGGAGGTTGGGGGGCCGTGAAGGGCACCCCATCTGTTGAACCTGGATTAGGCTGTGAAAATCCCCTCGGGAGGAGAACTCTGATTAACAGCTCAGCAGGTTCACCGTCGCCATGCACTGTCTTCTTACCCATGCTCTAAGGTTGCGGCTCCCTCTGCCCTTGGCCCTTTCTCTGAGAGTGTGGGGAGAAATAGGAAATTATTGACTTACTTCTCATAAAAAATACAAGGAACCGACCTCTCTCTGGTGTCCTCCTGATTACACCAATGGAATTGTGCCACAGGGGAGACCACCAACTAGGTGGAGAGTGAGCCATGGTGGCTTGGCCATGTGTGTGTGTGGGGTTGGGGTGTGGACGTGGGTTTTGGTGTGGGAGCTCTTGAAGTGAGAGGATCAGACCCTCCCAAGGCTTGGGTCAAGAAAGAGCTAGGTTAAATTGCGAAAGCCAGCAATTGTGAATTCAGTCCCGTGGATGTAGCCTGGGTCTGTGAATTAAGCCGCACAGATGACCCCTTTTGGCTCAACTTGTTTCACTTATGTAGATGGCCTACATTTGCGTCATTCTTCACCCTGTTGGTAATCATCTGTTTTGTAGGCTGTTTGGGAATATGTTTGCACATTAGTTAAACTGGTAAGAGGACAAAAGGGCTGGAAATGGAGCGAACGGAGCTTGGCATGCGTCTGCCGAAGCAAAGCCAGCGGGATCTCTTTCAAGCACTTTGTGGATTATTGGCCTGGTGTGCTTCATGGATTAAAGATGGAGTTATTATTCACAAAACATATTCCCTCTCTTAGGAACCCTTATTGCTGATGGCCAGTGGAGTGTGAAAGTGCAAAGGGGAGGATGGAGCCAATCTTGCCATCTCCAGGGTGACAATTCTGGTGCCCTGCGGCCTGGGGCCAAGAGCATCCTTCTGTCCTTGGTTCTGTAGCCTCAGACAGCAGCACCACTGACTAGTGCCGGTCACAGCTGACACTTGCCAAGGAGATGATCACCCAGCGCAGAACAGGACCGAGGTGTGCTGTTGGAGAGAGAGAGCACCGACAGCTTTCCTTTATCTAGTGCTTCTAACTTTCCAAAATACTTTTGCACAGATTATCTTTCGCATTATTGAAATACAGATGATGTACAATGTTATGTTAGTTTCAGGTGTATTCCATAGTAATTTGTGGAAACGTTCACCACACCAAGTCTAGTAACCATTTGTCTGCATACAACACTATTACATATGATTGACCATATTCCTTGTTGCATAGATTATCTTTATTCTAGCTTTGTGGCGGTGAAGAAACTGTACTGAGCAGGGAGGAAGGTGGTTTGTCAGCTAGGTGTGATTGCCCCCCAGCTGTGCAAATTTAGGGAAGTCATTTCATCTCCCTGGACTTTGCTTACCTTACCCATAAGTTGGGTTCATCCCAGCTCTAACCATCTGTGGCTCTGGGGCAAGTATTATCCCTGCTTTGCAGATGAGGGAAAAGGGCCAGGTTGTCCAGGGAAGGAAACTGGACTCTGGTCTCCTGACCTCTGGATCTGTGCTTCTCCCTGCAGATCATGCTCCCTTATCACAGATCTGGAGATGGAATGAACCACGCCGTGCATTTCATTCCTCGGGTCCCCCTCTCTGAATCATTCCCTCCCTGGCCTCTTCTG